GAGAGGATCGGCACAACGTCAGATCAAATGGAGGAAACATGAAACAGGTGAACGCGTCCCATCCCCGGTTCCAACACCGGGCAGCTTCCTTCCTGACGTGAAGCGTGAGTTGACCCACCGGCGCATGGGGGCCCTTGAAGGCATGAAAAGCAGGACCTGGTTGGACAGTATCTGGGTGATGCTGAATGCTGAAAACCCAAAAGCGCAAGGAACTTGGTATGGCATCTGATGACTCCAAATATAATTTGACAAAATGACACGTACATCTTCATCGCCACTTGCCATGTTGCTCTTTCCAATTCACTCCTCCCGACTTATTTGTTCTAGCTGCAACTGATTGATGAGCCTTGGGCGGCTGTAGGGACCATCTCATGTCCCTGTTCTCATACACCCAGCCACCCAGCCCAGGAAGTGGTCGCAAATGGCCCACGAACACCTCTATTGCAGACTGAGCTCAACCCGCCAAACCATGTGATGTGTTCGTCAGAGGCAAAAGAGTAAATACGTTGATCAACCTAGAACCTCAGAATTGCTGGCTCACCTCACGTTTGTATGTGTTTGTCACAGTTCTCTACACCCTGCGCCAAGCCACACGCCCACGCTTCACTTTTGCGATCTCCCATCTCCCTCTGAAGCTCGCGGCACCTACTAGCGAGGCGCAGGGCTCTTCTACAGTTCTACAGCTTTTGACCTTTACTGCAAACACTCCCGAAAAGCCCTTCCTGTAGACGGCAAACACTCTCAGAAAAAGAACAGACTGAAAAAAGAAGCCCCTTTACCGATCGCTCAATAAATGCTCAATAGCTCCCAGAAACCGATCGCCTCCGGGAGGCGGCGATCGCGCGGGTGAAGTCATTCAAATGCATCCTAACCTCTGCCTGCCAGCGGGTACGGAGCACCTGAGTTCCAATCTGGAATTCCATTCTTACTCTTCATCGGACTCACCAAGAATCCTGTTTTGGAGGCCATCGCAATTAGGTTGTCGGCCATTAGAATTATATAGGTTGGAGGCCATCGCTATTAAGTTGGATGCCATTACAATATATTACAATTAGGTTGGAGGCCATTGCTTCTAGTGTGTTTTTTGCCGTAAGTTTTACATAGCGACTCCAAGCAGGCTGCCTTGGGCCTCCTATTCTGCCAGTTCACCCCGTTCGGTGATGGTGTCCAGCTGCAAAACAACTGGAGAACGAACCCAAAACACATGTTGAAAGTTGAAATGCATGTGTCTGTGTTTCTTAAACGTTGGTTCTGAAAGAAATACTCTGTCCATTCACACTGGAGTTTCTACGCTATCAATGGAAAGTCTACACTGAACCACGCAGTGTCGAGGGCCCAGGCAGGGGTTCAGGAACTTCAAAGGTATAGCGCCAAAAACAAAGGACACTTGTAGTACTATTCGTGGTATAGCCGCAATAACTGTGTGACATTCAGCTTGACCGAACAAGTGCCTGGGTCTCCCGAGAACTCAGTTCCCTTCGCCAGCAACACCCACCTGCATCCGCAAGGCATCCGCCTCCCCTTCGCGGTCGGCCACGGAATTGAAGATCCGCTGGGCTTCCACCGTCACTGCGGCGCCTCAACAGATCGAAATGGTCCAAATGCGCAGCGCCCCGGGGTGTTGCCGCTCTAAGCTCTGCAGGTGGCTCAAAGCGGAATATGACACACAAACAAGCACATGACGACCATATTCCGCAGTGGTTTTGCTGTTTCTTTTCGAGCTTCCCAAGCCTCGCTTCAGTTCCCCTCGCGCACAATAGGCCGAGCACAGCTGCAGCAAGGCTGAAGCCTGGACCAACACCGAAGAAGGTGACGAAGCGCGCGGGAGAGGGCAAAGCCCAGACTCCTTTTGAGGATGTAGATAGTAGAGGGACAAATTCGGGCAGTTGTGGTCAAAGTGGGATAGACGTGGCGGAAGTAGCGGTAGCAGCAATAGGCAATAGTAGTCGTAGTCGTAGTTGTAGTCATAGTGGAACTAGTGTAGCAGTAGCAGTAGCAGTAGCAGTAGGAGTAGCAGCAGCAGCAGCAGCAGCAGCAGTACTACTGATTAGATGGTGGTAGATGCTCAAATGAGATCACAAACCAGAAGATTGAAGGTAACGCCTTTTCTTTGAGGGACCATGTCTCATGTTCAGACTGGTGAGTCGACTGCATTACAAGACGATCAGGTCAAAACAGGTCCACCGTGCATGGATTGTGAATTCTCGGATGGGGGTAACCGTAAAAGCACACCCAGCAAAGCCAAGACCAAGAGTTGACAGCTAGGTGGCACTTTGAATTTAATTGCTTCCGGTTAAGGTTTTTGGAATCCTGCATTGTCCAATTAGCTCCTTCTAATCCATCCTTCATGGATTGGGGTATGGATCGTGCGTGGGGTTGGTGGGTCTGTGGTCCAAGCCTTATGTTTCTGGCCGCAGCCAGATGTCTTTTTGAGGGATTTGAAAGAAAACGCAAAGGAAACGCTTCCTCTCGAGACGGCGAGACTCTTTTTTGGTTTTGGATGTCGCTGTGGCTCAAAACTCCGGCACCGTCGTTGACCTTTGAAAATGAACAAATCCCTTTATAAGGGATGTCAACCTCCCGAAGTTTTGAGTCATAGTCATGTATGTGTTTTTCAGAATGAAAGGATCAAAACACCAAACAAGAAAGAAACGCCAAACCCCCAAAATGTAATCATGCAAACGTGCTCGTTTGTATTCAGCGTCCACGGGATGCTGCAAATTCAAGGCACTGTGTCCAAAAGCTCTACCTTTGCATCTTCTTGACGCACAAAATCCAAAGGATGCTTTCACAACCTGTTCTCCTTCAAGGTCATAATTTGAAGTCAAAAGGTTTGACACCGCGGCAAGTGGCCCATGTTGAACCATGTTGGTGTGTTCTTCTGACATTCGGGCGCCGGATTCCCGCCGATTCCGCCCCCTCGGATGGGCACCTCGCCCTTCTTGGTGCCGGTCTTCCGCGACAGGTCCCTGGACTTCATGGCCGCCTTTAGGCCCAGTCGGTTCTCCTTCCTGGCAAGCCGGCGGGAGAGAAAAACTCGTACCGCGAGCGCCGCGAGGGGGTCGACATCGAAGGAACACCCCAGACAGGGTGGTCGTTTTCCCACACTGCACAAGCGTCTTAGCTGCTTGTCCGCCAACAAGGGGCATTCTTCTCCACGTTTCGACCAGACTGAGATGGGGTTCATTTTGAGAGCGGTTCGCTGGTTCGCTCATGATTAATGACTCATATACGGCGGCTTCAATCGCCCAAGCTGCTTCAGGAGCGCCAGCTCAGACTGGAGCAAGTAGCACGCAGCCAGGGACTTCCGGTCCTCCGAGGTCGACCCCCCGCGACTGCGGAAAAGATGCAAACACTTCCTTCCCAAAATAGGCTTCAGGGGAAAGCACCCATCGCACTTGGTGGGAGACCAGTGTGAAGAACAGAGTGAAAAAAACAAGAAAACCTCTCCAAGAAGGTGTCTGATGGTCTTGGTGAAAACCGCTGAGACGAGCCGATGTGCCAAGTCGAGATGAACACCACAAGGAGGTTTCATCATCTTAATCTGGCGTTTCTGTAAATGAAGCACCCAGGTTGGTCCAGGATGTCCGTCAATTCTCTATGACTCATGACTCATGTTCCACCCATGACTGGATCTTGAAGCTGAATGCGATGAGCCCTATCTCTTCCCAACTCCAAAAATCACTGGTGTCACCAAACTGCCTTCTGCTCGTCCGCCAATTTCATGGCTTGGTCGATGGTGTGCTCCGCTCGTTCGGCATCCTGGAGTCAGTCACATTTGTTACTAGTAGTTTCTTGCTCCTAGTAGTAAGGCCAGGAGCTCCTAGCAGCGTCCTTGCTC